TGGCTGGTATCCCTGGCGTGCAGGATGCTCCTGCCAGGAGAGCCATGGCGAATTCAGGTTTTTGATGCACCCCCCCCCCAACCCCAGGCAAGTACTAGTTTCGAAAGCAAAGAAGGCCTGATCGCAGGCATTTTGTGAGGGGAGGGTATCGGTATCTTTATTTAAGACGGTTTCAGGCTAGAGTTAAGGGTTCAGGTATCGTTAGGGAATTTCATGGTTAGCATGGGTCGGCAAACCCTTGCTAGGGCAAAGAGTATACTCGCCCAGAACTTTAAACCTTAAACCTAACCCAAACTTACTCGAAATGGTTTAGGGTTTCGGGTTTAGGTTTGGGTTTAGGGTTTAGTGTTTAGGGTTCCTGATGCCTACCTACGGTAGCTGGGTCGCAAAAACGGGCCCTCAAAAGGATAAGCCGCGTCCTCAAGAACTCGTCATCCTAATGCCTAACTTAAATCTACAACTCGCCACTCCAAGAGCGAAAGCCGAAACCCTAAACCCTAATCCCTAAACCCTAAGCCCTAAACCCTAAACCCGAAACCCTAAACCCTAAACCCTAAACCCTAAACCCTAAACCCTAAACCCTAAACCCTAAACCCTAAACCCTAAACCCTAAACCCTAAACCCTAAGCTGAGGAAGCTTCTCAAGCTGCTGGCTCCTTCTTTCACCGCAGACTTTGCAGCGCACGTGCGGCAGGTCAAGTCTCAGCAGCAGGAATTGAGGCGCATGACTTAAGATGGGGTTTAGGGTTTAGGGTTTAGGGTTTAGGGCTTAGGGCTTAGGGTTTAGGGTTTAGGGTTTAGGGTTTAAGGCTTAGGGCTTAGGGTTTAGGGTTTAGGGTTTAGGGTTTAGGGCTTAGGGTTTAGGGTTTAGGGTTTAGGGTTTAGAGGTTTTTGGGTTTAGGGTTTAGGGTTTAGAGGTTTTAGGGTTTAGGGTTTAGGGTTTAGGGTTCCATCTCGGGGCGGATTTCGGTTTCTATTGTTTGCTTGAGAGCCACCCAAAAAAGTTCTTCTCCATAAAGGTATAATGAGGGGACTACAATATAAGTTTTTGGAGGGTTCTGAAGCAACTAGTAGGAGGTCTAGGGTTATAGGGAGCAAATCGAGTTGGCGTGGGGTTGGTAGGGCTTAGAATGTCTCAAGTTCTTGGTCTTTCAAGGTTTCGAATTCTCGTAGACCCTTGCTCTCGCATTCCCTGAAGGGTGCTTCTTTCTTCTAGCTAGCTAGGCGTCCTAGACTGCAGGAGAAGGTTCACGGCACCACAGCATAACCTCTTGCTAAACCCTCATGACTCTACCCCCTACATCCAAAACCCTAAACCCCCAAGCCCCTAACCCCCAAGCCCTACACCCTAAACTCCAAACCCCAAACCCTAGACCCTAAACCCTAAAGCACTACAACCCTAAACCCTAGACTAGCCGCCCCCAAGCCCATTCTAAACAGGACTCTAGCGGACTTTTCCATATGAACCAAAGACGGACCCCGAGACGGTTTGTAGGTCCAGCGTCGAAAAAGCTATACATCATTGAATGGAGCCTGAAACCTCGAACGTTCTTGAGGGTTCAAGGGCTTGTATACAGTACGGGTTAAGTGGTCAAGGGCTTTTGGGTTGCTTAAGGCATCATGTGGGGGGAGGGGGGGTTTTGGGTCTATAGGGCTTCAGGCTTGAGGGGTTTAGTGAGCCTTTAGCCCCCTTACCTCACTCAGACCATGCCCCGAAACTCCAAACCCAAAAATGTCAAAGACCCAAAAAACCCCAAACCCTAAAAACCCCTAGAGTCCTACCAGGGCTGTTATACGTACCCTACAAGGGGTTAAAAAGGCCCTTTGTAGGGTTGACTATGGGGATTAATATAAGCTGGTAGAGCCCGAAACAGCCCTCCCATGCCTTCGAGGCGCCTGATGCCGTACGCCGTCCCAAGGAATGTTTGTGGTGCTCCTGCGCCCCTGTGCACAGTCTGCGGCGAGGTGCGGGGAATTCGGGCTATAGGGTTCAGGATTTTGGGTCTGTGGCGCCAGTTCAGGTTATTAAACCTTGAACCCCAAACCCTGAACTTAGGCAGGAACTTAGACAGGCTGATGGAGTTAGATCTAAATTTTTGGGGCCCTTGGGGATCCCTCAAGCTAGGGTTTAAGGCTTTAGGGTGTAGGGTTTAGGGTTTAGGGTTTATTAAAGCTACAAGGTGCTGCTGAAATGGATCCCCCCGTCTTTCTTGCTGCTTTGTGCTTGCTGGGGTTGATCTACATCATTGGCGCTACGGAGAGGGAAGGGACCCCAAAATGCAGATTACCCTCCACCGGGCCCCCCCCCCCCCCCCTAAACCCGAAACTCTAAACCCAACCCTAAACCCTGAACCCTAAACCCTGAACCGTGCAGGAGGGAAAAAAAAAAACCCTGAACCCTAAACCCTGACGCCCCCCCCCCCCCCCCCTTGCCCATCTCAAGAAAAAGCTTCGGGGCGCAGGGTTGAGGGGTTTTGCTCCTTCATCTGCTTAATTATTGGCAGCGCTTTCGTTGCTGCTGGCGTTTAGGCTACAGGGCGCCTGTTCTCAACGCATGTGGTTGTACCTAGCCTTTTAGGGCCCGAATGCCGAAACCCCAAACGCCTACCTCAAGAGCCCTAACCTACTTCTTCGTGGTTTTTATTCTAAAAAGCCTACATGAGTCATTAGACGAACAGCCTGCACAAAAGACTAGGCTTAGGGTCCTTAAGGAAAAAAAGCACAACCAAGCCCCAAACCCAAACCCTAAACAACCAAGCCCTAAACCCTGAGACCCTAAATCCCCCCCAATAAAGGCCCTAAACCCAAGGTGGCCACGGTGCTGCTGCACCCGCCGAGCTGTCCCCAGGCTCACGTTGCTTGCCAGCCTTGCTGGGCGCGTTGGGGCGAGGAGCGGACCGGTCGGGGCAGGGGCGGTCGGGCTTGTAGGCCCGATGCTGGCTATGTGAATATATATATATATATATGTATATATATATGCATATATATATATATATATATATGCATATTATGTATATATATATATATATATATATTTGTATATACATAGGGTTTGGTGGCTACAGCTTTATGGACTCGTGGGTCTGCCATAAGCCCTACCGCAACCCCAAACCCCAAGCCTTACAACCCCTAAACCCCAAAGCCAGTGCACCAAGGGAAGGAGACCCAAACCCCAACAAAAAGCCGCCAAAGCCGAACACCCTAAACCCTGAACCCTAAGCCCTAAACCCTAAACCTTATAAACCCTAAACCCTAAACCCTAAACCCTAAACCCTAAACCCTAAACCCTAAACCCTAAACCCTAAACCCTCCAACAGCCTCCAACATGCCTGCCAGGAGCAGATCGAGGCCTGTCGCCATGGCAGGCACTTCCCGGGACGCTGCCTTTGGCCTGGCTGCGCCTCGTGCTGCATGGGGTTAGGGGTTAGGGATTGGGGTTTAGGGGTTAGGGTTTAGGGTTTAGCAGGGTTTAGGGTTTAGGGCTGGGGCGGCTGGGATTTAGGGTTTAGGGTCAGGCCTAATTAACATTGACTGAGTGCCTGAGAGAGAGAGAGAGAGAGAGAGAGAGGGTTTAGGGTTCAGGGTTCAGGGTTTAGGGTTTGCTGTGATGGGGTGAAGGTTAGGTTTCGGAACAAGCTCGAAAGCTTCGTGAGGTGCGAAGAGCAGCTTGGGCCCGATTGTGGAGGGCCATCTAACACTTTTCTCCCACCCCAAACCTATTCCGTCTAGGGTTTAGGCCTAAGCTCAAGGCAACAGTCCAGGGGGGTCAGGGGTAGTGGGGAACCAGCTTTCCCTGGGCACGCTGCGGCGAGGGTCCGGGACCTGCTGGGCTGGGGCCTAATTACTTTGTTACAAGGGACCAGTACTGGTTTCGAGGAGAACGTGTTCCCCGTACCGGGCCATCGTGGGTGCTACCGACCCCCATGCCGGGCGAGCGACCTGGGTCTATGGCTTAAGGTTTAGGGTTTAGGGTTTGGGGTTTAGTGGGTGTAGGGTTTGCAGGGTTTCTTGGTAGCCCAGCGATACCCTTTACCCTTGTGTTGGTTCCGGGTTCCCTGATAAGGTAACCGACCAGGGACTGGCACTCTTTTTATATTAGTATGGTTACTGGGCTACCAAGGTTAAGTTTAGGGAACTAAGGCATTTCGGGAGGTAGTGAAGGTTTAGGGTTGAGGGCTCGGAGTTGAGGGTTTACGGGTGAGGGTTTCCAGAATCCCTCCCGACCAAATTCCCCAAGCCCGCCCCTGCCGAGCCAATGAACCCGACAAACCCTATAAACCCTATAAACCCCATAAACCCTATAAACCTCAACCCCTAAACCCAAAAACCCTACCCTACAGCCAGAACCCTAGACCCGTCAGCCCGAGCCTCCAGGTGAGACGAACCTGCGGGAAGAGGACTGGCTGCCGCGCGGCTCATACTTGGAGGTTCATGGTTACGGTTTAGGGCTTCGGGCTTAGGGTTTAGGGTCTAGGGTTTGAAGTGTACTTATAACTGTACTTACGGATGTTCCCCCCTGTACTAACAGCTCTTCATCGGGATGATCGTACCCCCTTCAATTAGAATCCCTATTCAGGACTGTTACAATAGGGGGGGGAACATCCCAACCTGCATCTTGCATCGGAATCCTCTAAGCCCCTGATGACTCTCAGGTGGCGTCTGCTGACGTTTTCCCGACCACTCGTCCGTCTTGTGGCGGACCTCGACCGTCGTGGGCGCCTGCAGCGGAACCGCCTCTACCCGCCTGCTCTGCAGGCCACTTTGTTGAGGGCTTATTAGGGTTTAGGGTTTGGGGTTTAGGGTTTAGGGTTTTTAGGGTTTTTAGGGTTTAGGGTTGAAGGTGAGGGCTTAAGACTTCAGGTTTCGCGTCAGCGCTGTGGCTATCGGGCAAATGCGTGTCAGTGCTTACGGCAGTCGAGTGCTCACCTTAAGAAACCCTGGAGGTAGACTGTCCTCAGCCTGGGTGCGTGGGCTTGGGCTACCTGGGCTTCGAGACGGTGATGTGCTTCATGTGCGAGCATCAGTGGGACGCGACCAGCGGAGTTGTTGAAGCGGACACGGAGCTACCAGAAGGAGAGGAGGCGGGCCCTCCGCATACCAACCCTGGGCCCTAAACCCCCCCTAAACCCCCCCTAAACCCCCCCTAAACCCCCCCTAAACCCCCCCTAAACCCTGAATTTGCCCTCCTTGTTGCCTTTTTTGTGTCGTGGCCACAGGTTGCGGAGGTCTCCGTCGCAGGGGTTCGGGTCAAGAGGTGCCCCAAGTGCCGCGAGTACATCGAGAAGAACGGCGGCTGCGATCACATGACCTGCCGCTGTGGCCACCAGTTCTCGTGGTCAACGCTGAAGCCCTGGCCCCCCTAAGTTTCCCCGCGGAAGCTTGGCAAGTGGCCATGCTCAGATCTTGCTCGGAAGACGCTTTGGAATTTCCAAATATCCGAGGGTCGGAATCCGAAACCCTTACGAGCCTTAGACCCGGTAAACCCTATATGGGGGTTTTCGATAATAAGGGACCCCGAATATAGTTTCCCAAATAGTAGGATCCCCTTGTAATCAGGACTCCAACAAGGTACCCCCCAATATCGCAAACCCCTTAAAGAAGACCCTAAGCCCTGAACCCCCGAGCTTACGTGAACCTTCGGGCAAGATCACGCCTTGGGAAAGCCGCGATACTTGGAGGTTCAGGGTACATGAGACTCCAGTTATAACTGTACTTCTAAGACCCCCAGGTCCCCTAGGTCCCCTAAGTGGGTTAAAAGCAGACTTATAGTTGGGGTTATAAGTACCCATGAACCTCCGTAGGGAGGCATCCCTGCTTAGTAAGCGCTCCCAAACCCGCCGACTTTGGTACAGGCAATGCGCAGACGGTCTGGGGGCGCTTTTAAATCACTTCCGGGAGTTTCGCAAACAGGGGTTTAGGGTTTAGGGTTCGGGATTTAGGGTTTAGGGTGTTTTTAGTATAGACTCGCAAATAGTAGGATTCCCTTATAGTCAGGACACCAACAAGGTAGCCGCGATGTCAGAAACCCCCAAATGCTCGTAAGCCGTATGCCCTCAGGATCCTTCCCATGGGTTCGCCTTGAAATTTTCGCGGTCCTGAGCCCTAGGGTTTAGGGTTTAGGGTTTAGGGTTTACGGTTTAGGGTTTAGGGCCCAAACCATGTGGCTCTTAGAATGCCTATAGTGACAACATGGGGAGCCAGAAGCTGCAAGCTGGCAAGCTGGGCCCTTGTGAAAGCGCGGCATGCGAACCCCCCCAGAACAACCCAAGTCCTAAACCCTAAACCCTAAACGCCAAACCCTAAACCCTCAACCCTAAACCCTAAACCCTAAACCCTGAACCCCAAACCCTAAACCCTGAACCCTGAACCCTAAACCCTAAACCCTACACCCTAAACCCTAAACCCTAACCCTAAAACAGCTCCTAAACTCTCAATGGTATGATCATGGGCTGAAGGCAAGCAACCAAATCACATTTTGCGAAGCTCTTGTTAACTGTTCCAAGGGACATCTCCCTTCGGGCATGTACAGGCAAACGGCGAATGGCCAAAAAGCTCAAGGGGGGTTAGAGGGTCTTGGATTTTAGGGCTTAGGGTTTTAGACGCTGTAATTTCAGTCAAGGTCAAGGTTGCAGGGACAAGCACTATAGTCAGCAGTACTGAACATCAATCTGATTGTAGACTAGATTGGTGTCGTCATGAGGTAGTGCATGATTTCCAGTGGAAGACTTAGTTTCCTGATCGCACCCGCTTTCGAATCCTGCACTAAGGGCAGCAAAAGCAGCCCACAACCAAGAACGCTTGTCCTCAACGCATCTAAGGGATGAGCATATCATGAAAGCGCTTCCTTTACATGTTGGACGTGCCTGTGCTCCTTCGCCCAAGTCCCCTAAACCCAAAACCCTAAAGCCTAAACTCCAACATCTCCTGTGGAGGCAGAGCTTCAGTTTCGGGCAGCCGGCCGCCGTCTGCTCCGTTACTTCCGCCCCAGATTCGATGCTTCGCCTATAGGGCTTGAAGGTTTAGGGTTTAGGGTTTACATCGAACAACTTTTGCAGCAGATCCGTTTGCTTGCCCAAAAGTTAAGCCCTAAAAGAAAGAGGGCTTTGCGTTTCACAACCTAAGCCCCAGACCCTACACCAAAAATGGCTTGGGGTTTAGGCTTAGAGATTAACAAAAACAATTGTAAAGCCAAAGGCACTGAACCCTACAGGTCTAGGGTTTAGGCCCAATGTTTAAGGAACTCGTCGAATTCAGACATCACTACCCCAAACCCTCAACCACCAGCCCCTTACAATCTCATTTTGTGTGCCGATTCTACAATGACATGAAGGAACCCTTCCGGGGACGATAAGCTTTGATAATGTCTACATCAGGTTGATTTGCTTGGGCTTCTCAAACCCGAAACCCCTAACCCCTAACCCCTTAAACCCTAAACCCTAAAGGCTTTTCCGAGCGCCGCCGTTTCAGGAGCGCAAGGTTGCTGCTGCGCGCCTGCTGCAGCGGCACTGGCGGAAGCACAGGCGCCGGCGGTGTTGACCTACTCCAGCATTTTGAAGATCTGCCCAAACATCCCGATGTAGATGAAATTAAGTACAGAGGTGAACGATGACCCACTCGAACTGGAACTACATGAGAGTGGGGCCCCTTGCTGCCTGACACCCTTTGAGGATGGCACAGAGACAGAGAGACAGAGAGAGAGAGAGAGACAGGGAGACAGGGAGACAGGGAGACAGAGAGACAAGGAGACAGGGAGACAGGGAGACGGGGAGACAGGGAGACAGAGGGAGAGGGAGAGAGAGAGAGAGACAGAGAGAGAGAGAGAGAGAGTGTGAGAGAGTGAGAGAGAGTGAGAGAGTGAGAGAGACCAAACTGCCCTTCTTTAGGGCTTTAGGGCCTTGGGCGAGGTTTTTGTTTTGGGTTGGGGAGTTGAGCACGTGCGTCTCATCTGGAATCCATCTTCGCTCTGGAGAGGCTTCGCAGCTCGTTTGCCCGCTGCTTCACGAAGCGCCGGAGGGCACGGCAGAAGTTGCAGTCTTGGCCACTGGGCATCTAGGGTTGAGGGCGTAGGATTTAGGGTTTCAGGGCTTCCAGCTGAGCTTGGCACAGAACCTCGGTTCAAAACGAAAGGGTTTCACATAGGGTTGGGGGTTTATGTGGCTGGTTGCGCAGGCTTTAACTTGAATTGTTAGAGTTTATATAAGGTTTATAAGGGTTCAGGAGTTTTCTGGGTCGGCGTCAACGGCTCGTTTCCTCGAAGGATCCCGATTGCATCCCTTCTCACTGCTGACTTACTAGGCCTTGGCTTGGGATACTTTAAGTCTTTCCGTTCTTGGGCTCAGAGGATCATATCTTCAGAGGGTTTTAAATGGCCAACCTATCTTTAAGGACTCCGCAGCCTGCGGAGGGTGCTTCTGGCTAATAAAACGATAGTCTATGGCAACTTCCCAAAATGCGGAGTACCCCGAATGTACCCCAAAGCACTGAAATCCTTGCAACAGGAACGCCCCCCTCTGCTGTGGCCCGTCCCCGAACATCCTAAACCCCAAAACCATGGGCCCATTCTCGTTGCTTTGGGGTGGGGGGGGGGGGGGGGGGGGGGGGGCTTCTGGTTGCGGGGCTTTTGCGTCATCCATCCTTGGGAGCTGCTGTGGCAGGGTGCCACTTTTTGTTTTGGGGCTTTGGGATTTTGGGATTTGCGGTTTACGGTTGAGGGTTTACGGAGCCCTCAATTCCTAACTAACAACCCGTAAGATGTGGCCACCAACCCTAAACCCCAAAATCTAAGGTGGGTGGAACAAATCCCAAGGTGCATCTTTCTAGGCCAAACTTGGTTGTCTACGTGCCGAGGTTTCGTGGTACTGTCGGACGGCAGGCGCACTACAGGACTCCCGTGTTTGTGCTTTGCTCGGGTCTATAGGGTTCATAGGGTTTATAGGGTTAGGGTCCAGGGTTTAGGGTTTAGGGCGGTTTAGGGTTTAGAAGCGCGCTCTTTGGGGGTGCCTGGCAATACGCCCAGCAAAGGCAAGGAGTTGCATGGCAGTTCCGAGAAGGATGCTGAATTCTGTCCTGCTGTCACGCCTTGCTCACAAATTTGATTCATTTCAGTACAGGCAGATGCAGACTCCGAAGGCCAATAACAAGGACCGTTCCACACCTCTCAGCCGTCCCGACCGAAAGGCAAAAGGCAAACTTCACGAATTTGCCAAATGCCACGGCCGGAGATTTGTCCTGGCCAAATCCGTTTGGTTCTGGGTGGACGGAACATGGCCGGAACGGTTGGAAAAGGCAAAGTAGGTGCATGCGCGCAGGCCTTGTTGCCAATCACTACTGCGTGGCTGATGAGGAACTCTTCAAACGATGGGAGCATGGAGATGAATAGCCCGGCTAGAATCAATCACATGAGCAGCTTCAACAGTCTGCGCGGCAAGATCGATGAGCGTTGACTATGGCACAGCTAGAGCTTTTTACGTAGTTTAGCATTAGAATATAGCAGATGAGTGTTCGGTCTCATCTTGCCAGAATACAGACAGAATAAATATAGAAATGTATGCCGCGGTCGTCCTAACATGTCCTAGCGCAGTAGAAGAATGGGTGCTGCGAGGGAGAGGCTGATGCTGACAAGAGTTTTGCCCTTGGGTGGAGCTCCCAATGCAACTTTCGGCCGCATACACACATCAGCCGAGGCTGCACGAGTTTGGCTCTACTCAGTCAAGTATCCATGACAGCTTGAGCACTTAGCAAAATTTGGGGGGCCCACTGAAGCAAGTTTGGGGAGATCCCTCTTGGATCCGTCCTCCATGCGCTACTGGATTGGCTGATGCAGACCGCCAGGCTCCCAGACAAGTAGTCTGGGTTTGTTTCAGCAGAGACTTGAAGCCAGACCTAAAAGTCCCCTACAGATGGCTAGAGGCCTCATGCAATGCCAACAGAATGCCCGTACTGTAGCCGTGGGGTTGCATTAAGCCTGCCTCAACGTAGCTTTGTCGCGCTTGTCGCCATGGGCACAGAGACTGCCATCGTGCCAGTAACTCCTGAGCCGCTGTGGCTTCGATTGCTGCGAGATGAGGACAGTTCACCGCTGGAGCGACTTGACGCGAACATGCGCCAGACGCCAGATTGGGTTCAGCTGCGGGGGATTCTGGAGCAGGGGAGCCCCTGGGTGCGAGACACCATCTGCGGCCTTCTTTTGGATGAGATGTCGCGCTCTTTCCAGAATGTGGTCGGGCAGCTGCGAACTTTCAGAGAAGTGATGGCGGAGATGCAGGCGACTATGGACTCTGAGGATGCGCAGGCCCTGCACCACCTACTCAGGGATATGCAACCATCGGGCATTGCAGCCCTGCAGAGAGAAGCTAATGGCATCAGCGAACACATCAGCTCTGTCAGGTCTCATCTGGAAAGGGGAGACTTCTCTGGTGTGCACAGTCTAGCACAGCGCATTGCTAATAAAGCCAAGCGCTTCAGAGGCAAGTATGAAGAGCTGCGCCCCCAGTTGGACCGGCTGCAGCGCAAGGTTCAAGAGATTGCTGACAAGTGCACGGAAGCAGCGCAAAGATCAGACGAACTGATCGAGGAGACCAAGCAGAGGCGCGACAAATGGTTCGCCCTTCTGTGTTGCATCAATTGCGTACTAGCTGCTGGCGGTCTGCTTGTCTTTGCTGGAGCTGGAGGCACAGTCTTGGTCGCCAAAGGCATGTTACTCTGGAAAGCGTCTGCACTTGCAGAAGCAACAAGCACCCTTGTAACCGCCAAGGCAGCTGCAGCAGCGAAGTTTGCAGCCGCGGCAGATGCAGCAGCTCTATCTAAAGCTGCGGCTGCCGCGGCAACCCCAACTGCCGCGGCTACAGGTAGCTCGGTTGGCACAGCGATTGGCGTGGCTTCCATCGCGGGTCTTCGTGCCGGGGTTGTAGCAGTAAGCGCCGGGGCGCCTGCGGCCACGTTATTCGGCTCCCAAACACTTGGTGGCTTGGCTGTTAAGGCAGGGTTGATGGCAGCACCTGCAGCTCCTTTGGGAGTAGTAGTCGGCGCAGCATCTGCAGCAGCTGCAGCAGCTGGCTGTGTTTACATGCTGTGGAGTGCAGCATCTGCTGCACTTGTCGCACCCGCAGCCGGCGATGCAGCATTTAACGCATTTGCCGCTGCCATGGCTGCATTTGCTGCTAAACAAGCGGCTGCAGAAGAAGCTGCAGCTGCGGCAGCTCAGGTTGCTAGCGCTACACAGAATGTGAATGCTCTCCAACTTACGTTGCAAACATTGCCCACTGTTGTTGGGAACGCATCGCCATTTGTCATCGGTTCGGCCTGCATCTTGGCATTGGCGCTGCTCGGATATTGTGGACGAAGTTACCTGAAAAGCCTGTTGGGGAGGCTTTGGGCAGCAGAGATTCAAGAGCACGAGAGGTCAAAGGCAGCCTTCAGACGTGTGGCGCAGATGCTGCAGGAGACTACACAGAAACTGACGACCATCTGCCAAAAGAGCGAAGCCCTAGAAGACTGCTTGGATGTGGTCGTGGAGGTCGCCGAGGAGCTAGCAGGCACAGCGCAGGATGCGCAGGACGTCGTGGACCCACAGGAGTTGCACGCTGAGACGCTGAAGATGCACGAGCAGGTCAACAAGCTGTGCGCAACATATGCATCACTGCCAACTGCATTCGAGCAGCTTCATGCTTCTGTTCGGGAGCTCGAGGCTCAAGTGATCCAGTCCGATGTCGTCCAACCAACAGAGCTTGGACCTGGACCTCCGCTTGTGATTCGGGAAGGTGATGTCCACATCCCAGAAGTCAATCGGCTGGAGCTGCCCGATCCGGACGGAGAGTGGATCCTCGTAGAATCTCCACCTCCAGCCAGTCCCTCCACTAACGTTGAGCTTCATGATTGTTTGCCTCTCAACACATACCTGCTGGTGGCAGTGGAGTGTGCTGCGAGGCTGGGAGCCCTGCTCGCGGCAGGACCTGGCGGAAATCGCGTTTGCCAGGTGCTCTCTCAAGGACAAGCTCTGCGGCCCATGTCGCATTTCTCTGCTGTGGGTGAGCACCGCCTGACAGCCGGGCATCCCTTGCGGGTGCAAAGGTCAGGCTCCTGGATCCACGAGCGCGCATCTCTGCTCCAAAGCGGCGATGTCGTGCTCACCTTCTCCGGCAGCCAGGTAGTCGAGTCTGTTGCTGGCCAGGTGAGCAATGAGGAGGTCTTTTCGTTGGACATCCAGGGCAACCAGGAGGTGTTCATGTTCACCATCACTCCTGGCAATGATGGCCGGATCAGTCTGGGCAGCGTGGCTGTCTTGAGCAGCATGGCGCAGGAGGACGAGACCGCCCGCAGAAGCACCTCTGCCCCACCCCGGCTGAGAAATGGCTTTCCTTCCATCGGCTCCAAGTTATGCAAGGGCACTTCTCGCTGCACCAACATCTGCAGGAAGTTTCTACGGGGCACCTGCTTGGACGGACAGGAGTGCAAATTCTGCCACCTGCCGCATCCAGAGGAGCCTAAGCGGGCAGTGAGAGGCCAGCGCTTCGAAGCACGAAGCAGCTACAGCGCTTGAGCCAGATGCGGACTGTCTGGATGGAGGCACGGCCTCATTGGCACAGATTCCCAAGGCAAGATGCCTGGTTGAAAGCGTCTGCGTACCTACAAGTCACGTGTAACGGATAAACGTTTGTGCCCGGAAGTCGCATCCGTCCACGGGATTTGTCTAGCTTGCAGTATGATTTTTGATTTGTGGCTGCCTCTAAGCCAAGGTTAGACCAATTTCCTGACTATTATCCTATTCTCCGAAAATAGATTATATAGTTTATCTACATAACTAAGATGCAGCTTATTCGATAAAATAGACTCTGTCCGATATATGATCATAGAACCTAGAAACCTACATACTATTTGAAGCGAAAAAGTCATACATTGCATCATGTTTTCTCGAATAAACCTCTACAGAACCTAAACTCTAAACCCTAAATAGACCTTATAAATCCTAAACTCTAGAATCCAGGCCCTAAACATCTGAAACCCCCACCTGTTTTTGATCTGGAGTTTAAGGTTTAGTCGTTAGGGTATAGGGTTCAGGATTTGCTGTTTAGGTAGGGTTCAGGGTTTAGTGTTTAATGTTTAGGGTTTAGTGTTTTGGGTTTAGGGTCTAGTGTGTAAGTTTTCAGGGTTTTGTGTTTAGGGTTTATCGTTAAGGGTTTAGGGTTTAGTTTTAGGGTTTAGAGCATAGGGTTAAGCGACTGCTTTCCTGAAGTGCGTGCATGTTGCTTGCGTCTTTGAAGCTCAGGCCGGAGCCTAGCTGTCTTGGGTTAGCAAAAGGGTGAAGCGCCTTGAAAAAAATCTAAGCCCCTCAATAAACCTTGTAAATCATAAACTCTAAACTCCACACCCTTAAAACGTGAAACCCTGACGGGTTTTGGTTGGGTGTTTAGGGCTTAGGGTTCAGGATTTGTTGTTTGGGGACTAGGGTTTGGTGTTGAAGGTTCAGGCTTTAGTGTCAATAAGGTTTAGGGTTCAGTGTTGAGCGTTTAGGGTTTAGTGCTTAATGTTTAGGGTTTAGGGTTATGTGTTTAATGTTTAGGGTTTAGGGTTCAGGGTGTAGGGTTTAGTGTTTCGGGTTTAGGGTTTCGTGTTTAATGTTTAGGGGTTTAGTGTTCTGGGTTTCGGGTTTAGTGTGTGGTTGTTTAGGTTTAGCGTTTACATGTTTAGCTTGTCGTGTTTACTGTTTACTCGGCGCTGTGTGGGTTCAGTGCTAAGTGTTTAGGGTTAAGTTTTTCGGGTTTAGTATTCAGGGTTTGGGGTCTTAGTGTTAAGGGTTTCGGGTTTAGTTGTTAGGGTTTCGGGTTTAGTTTTAGGGCTAAGGGACTTGGAGAATATCTATCGGGAACGTCTGGTTTACGTAGTTTTCTGGGCTACTTTATATTACGAATATCTTTGAAAAAGAAGGTCATTCGGCATTCTGGAAATTGTGTTTACAAAGCTTTGTCGCTCGAAATTTATAATTTGCACGTAAAAATGAGAAGTATTCTGAAAAATAGAAGGAAGTCAGTTGTCTTGCAAAAATGCAATATGAACATCTATTTACACAAGAACCGGCTGGTGGCGGTCCAGTTTTGGTCCAGTTTGGTCCAGTTTTCGTCAAGGCTGGTCCAGTTTCATGAAACTGGACCAGAACTGGACCCCCGGCCTGGAATCCCCAAACACCCTAACCCCAGGAAACCCTACACACTAAAAGAAAGGACCCTAAACCCTAAACCCTAAACCCTAAACCCTGAACCCTGAACCCTAAACCCTAAACCCTAAACCCTAAACCCTAAACCCTAAAAACCCTAGACCCGTCACACCCTGACTGCGGCTTAGGGTTTGTTTGGGATCTTCAGGGTTTTGGGTTGGGTTTTTTTTTCCACCCGCACGTGAGAGACAGGTTTGTTTTACAAGGTTTAGGGTTTGAGGATAGGGTTAGAAGGCCTAAACCCGTACACACCCAAACCAGCAAAAGCCCTATATAAGCTCCCAAAGCCCAAAACAATATTCCCGCAGAAGCCAAAAACTCGTAGAAACCCCAAACCCCTCAAAACCCTAAGCCCTCAAAGCCCAAAACACATTTCCCGTGGAAGCCCTAAACCCGTAGAAACACTAAACCCGTAAAAGCCCTATAAGCCCTCACGCCCCAAAACAGTTTTCCTTTACAAGCCATAAACCCATGGAAACCCTAAACCCGTAAAAGCCCTAAGCCCCATCCCGTAGAAGCCCTAAAGCCGTAGAAACTCTAAACTCGTAAAAGCCCTAAACCCTCAAAACCCCCCCCCAAAAAACACACCCGTAGAATCCTAAACCTGTGGAAACTCTCAACCCCTAAAAGTGCTAAACCCTCAAAACCCCAAAGCAATATTATCTCGAAGAAGCCCTAAACACCTTTGAAATCGTAACCTGGTAAACAATATAGCCGTAGAAGCACAACCCACGGAAACCCTAAACCCCTGAAAGCCCTATAAGCCCTCGAAACCCCAAAACAATATACCCGTGGAAGCGCTAAACGCGGAGAAACCACTCTAAACCCGTAGAAACACTAAACCCGTCAAAGCCCTATATAAGCCCTCAAGGCCCAAAACAATATCCCCGTCGAAGCCAGAAATCCGCAGAAACCCTAAAGCCCTAAGCCCTCAATACCCGAAAGCAATATACACATAGAAGCCCTAAACCCGTAGAAACCCTAAACCTGCAAAAGCCCCAACCTAACCCTCAAAAGGCCAAAACAATATAGCCTTGGAAGCCAAAAACCCGCAAAAACCCTAAACCCTAAAAGCCGTCAACCCTCAAACCCCAAAAGAGTATACCCGTAGCACCCCAGTATACCCGTAGCACCCCTAAACCCGTTACAGCCCTAGACTCTAAAGATCCGAAGACCCTAAGCCCGTAGTAGCCCTCAACTCTAAAGACCCTAAATCCTGCAAACGCCAAGGGGAGTTTCATTTATTCGTGTAGGCTTAATGTGCTTTTTTTAAAAGGGTTTTGATGGTTTGGGACTGTCGTAGGGTGTAGGGCATGCAAGGTTTTTAAGGTTTAGGGTTCTGGCTCTTTAGGACCCTATGACCCCCATTGTCCCTGAACCCTAAAGCCAAACCCTTAACTGTAAAGCTTTTAAACTGAAAACAGCCTGAAGAGAAGAAGGAAGCCACACCATTTCAGTTTCTTTTCTAGCATTTGAAAGTGTGTGTGTGTGTGTGTGTGTGTGTTTACTCATTTTGCTGACATGAAGAAAGTCTATTTCTTGGAACAAGCTATGTTCTTCAAAGACTTACTAGATACAGTCTATTTAAGTAGACCGTATCGTCAGGAAATAAGCCAGAATCAACGAGAATAATTGTCAGGAAATAGTCTAACCTTGGCTTAGCGGTGTTTGCCGTGGCTGGACCGAGCGCTGCTCGATGTGCCACATTCGGCCACATGGGAACGGCAAAGGGAATCTCAGTCAACGTCATGCGTAGATTCGGGTGGCAGGCTTCTCAATGTACGTTTTTTTCCACATGACGATGCGTGGTAGGCAGCTTGCGGTGGCTAAATTTGTTGATGACCCGATGTGTGGCTGGCGCCCGGCCGAGAGCTTGGCATGGCTCTGTATAGTTAGAAGTATAGGTTGCGAAGTCGCTGCTGCAATCCGATGCCAGAGAGTTCTCGCGGCTGTTTGACGTGCCGAATAGATCGTGGCAGAGTAGCTTCGCTAAGACTTCTGGCAAATCCTACATGCAAGAGTTCAGTCCGCCATCAATCAAAATGCTGCCGGACTTCACTGCCACCACCTCTTACAGTCCATAGCTTGCTTCTTTCCTCTGTCTGCGGAGGGTGAGCATCCAGGCAGCAAGAACGAGCGTCGCTCGATTGCTGCCATGGCTCCCCTTGGCTGCTTCGCATGCGTTTGGACCATGTGCGGCAGGTGTTAAAATTGTGCGTCGTGTTTGGCACTCTCTGGGTGTGTAAGGCCCTCAGGCTCTGACCTTGCTGCAATTTTCCTGCCTAAACCCTAAACCCTAAACCCTAAACCCTAAACCCTAAACCCTAAACCCTAAACCCTAAACCCCGACTCAGTTCAGGTTCTGCAAAGCCTGCTTGGAAGGGCTGTCGAAGAAACAGGACAGGGTTCTTGTGTTGAGCACTCAACAGTCCTCATACATGTCTGACGCCAGCACTTCAGCAGAGCCAGCTTGCCCAGCTTGTGCCGCGGAAGTGCAGCTTGCGCATCAGAGGCGACAAAGAGTCGGTGGCAAGATGCAAGAGAGGTTCTCTTATAGCGTTAATGGCGTGACGAGACAGGAAAGGACATCCTGAGGAAAAGTGTGGTGCTAGAGTTGTTGGAGTGCGAAGGCCAGAGCAACTTTAGAGGCCCAGTACCGACCTGCATGCAGCACGGAGACAATTCAAGTGGCCAGCGCACTACAGACTACAGACACCCACTTCCTACGCAAGCCCTCGCCCAAACCAAACCCTGAACCCCAAACCACCTCCCAGCGAGGATCCGAATACTCGATGGCCTGAATTTCAGCCTGCATTTGTGAGAACGGACTCATCTGAAGAGTCCTATACTTGAAGGTGCCTTGACAGGTCGTTTCTGGTCTCTAACCCGGGGACGTTTAGGAGCTTAAGAGCTTATATAGGGGTTTAGGAAGGGCACGCTCAGAAGCTTAACAAGGGTAGGCAAGGGTTTAGCAAGCGCACATTTAGGAGCTTCAGCGCTTGGGGGTTTAGAAAGGGCATGATTAGGAGCTTAACCAGGGTCGGGGTTTTGGAAGGCCACGTTTAATTAGGAGCTTAAGAGCTTATGGGTTTAGGAAGGGCGCGTTTAGGAGCTCAACAAGGGTAGGGCTTTAGGCAGGGCACATTTAGGAGCTTAAGAGCTTAGAGGTTTAGGAACCTTAGGAAGAGCACGTTTAGGAGCTGAGCCCTACACCCTTACCTCCCTCCAAACCTGCGAGGGTGACGCCGACAACACAAACTGGCCTTTAAATATACAAAAGCACGCAACGCTACAAAAAAAGACAAGCATTTTGCTATGGCCAATTTATAATCCGGAGAAGTAAATTCCGCTGCATCCCCTATATGCTTCCCGTACCACGCCGGCTGTTAGTTAGCACTTGCGCTTTAAGCTTGGGAACTGGTCGGCGGGGGGAGCGGCTACTAGTGGTAGAAGTGGTGGAAGCAGAAGTAGGAGTAGAAGTCGTCGTCGTCGTCGTAGTACTACTACTACTACTACTACTACTACTACTACTACTACTACTACTACTACTACTACTACTACTACTACTACTACTAACTACACTACTACACTACTACACTACTACACTACTACTACTACTACTACTACTACTACTACTACTACTACTACTACTACTACTACTACTACTACTACTACTAGTACTAGTACTAGTACTAGTACTAGTACTAGTAGTACTAGTAGTACGAGTAGTCCTAGTAGTATTAGTAGTACTAGTAGTACTACTAGTACTTGTAGTACTAGTAGTACTAGTAGTACTAGCACTGAAGTCACAGGTACAGTTTAAGTGTAGTACTAGTAGTACTAGTAGTCGTAGTAGAAGTAGTAGTAGGAGTAGGAGTAGGAGTAGGAGTAGGAGAAACAGCAGCAGTAGCCCTCTGGCCATTTCCTTGTTTTTGTAACTGTTGCCCCTTTTTGTTGTTGTTGTTGTTGTTGTTGTTGTTGTTGTTGTTGTTTTTTTTTTTTTTTTGGGGGGGGGGGGGGGGTCGGTAAGCAGTAGTAGTGACGCAAGCCTGCTGGGCGCAGAAAGCGCCTGATGAACGACACGCTTGTGCAACAATCTCGCCTCTAAGAGTTCCGAGGTTGGCTTGCGGACTGCGGCTTTGAGATTCCGATCTGTCGTGTCATGTTCGCGGCTTGCAGCTGGAAGATTTGCGCGTGCGCTTGACAAAGAGTTTCGGCAAGCACAAGTCTTCTCCAAGACCTAAAATCACTGCTTTCGAATGAAAACATAATTAACGTGGACAAGTTTGGCCTGAGAGATGCAAAAGGATGTGATTGGGGTTGAGTCGCTGCAGACCAGATGCAAAAAAACAAGCTTAGAGCTGCGAATCTTCGCAAAGGTTAGAAAAAAGGCTAGGGATTGGGAGCTTTAGGCGGCGAAAGCTTGTACCCATAGCAGGGTTTGACTCCTTCAAATTGGGCAATCTATAACCCTGTATTAGCATATTGGACCATCTTCCTTTGCAGGGTTCAGCCGCAAGTGTATGTGAGTGTGGTGTGCAGATGTTCTTCGAAGCGAGACTTTCCTTGAAAGGTGTGCCAGGGAAGCTATCTGATCTTCTAGCTTCACTATCTCGAAGCGCTGAACTTCTAAGCTCAAGCAGCCTGCTCGCCGGATTCTGCCCTGCACAATACGACATTCTTATAAGGAACCCCCGATCGGACCCTAAACTAGACAGCACAGCTACATTGCTCCAGCCCCTCTTGCCAAACCTTAAATACCCTATAGTATACCTATAGTATTATAGCTGACTATGACCCCTAAACGCCTTAGACCTTACGCCCAAAGCTTACAACCCTCAACACCACTGAAGACAGGAGGCTGCTGGCACTCAGCTCCGTGCGGCGGGTGGTGCAACTTGTGATGCACAGGGACAACGTCTCCTGTAGTGAGTTTAGGCCTTATCGGAGTTATGGTTTAGGGTTTCAGGGCGAAATCTTTCAAGCTTTGATCGCTGCGAAGTGTTCTGGAGTCTACCTAGAAGTTCTACTTGTTGCCTGTTGCAAAGGAAGTCCTCTTGAGGGGTGTGGGGGCTTAGTATGTGAGAGGGGAAAGTCGCTAGGGGTTGGCATTGCCTGTGAGAGAGAGGGGTTTGCGTTGCCCGGTGATCTACAGAGGCCTGGTTGCAAAAGGGGCTTGCGCCCCTTGTCCCTTCGTATTTTAGCATGTTTAGTAGAAGTCCAAGTAGAATCCAACAGTTTAACCTTTCCTTGGGACACTGGACAAGTATGACATGGAGGACTTGAGGTATTCGGAATCACGGGTGAAGAACGAAAGCCGAACACAGGGACTAATTTTGCCTGCTGACCTGAAGATGCTTCTTCAGGCTCTCAACCCTGATGAGCCCCATAAAGCCGATCAGCCCAGAAAGGCGGCTGCTTGTGTTTTGCTGCGGCCCTGCCTGGCGGGCGCGGCGGCGGCTGGCAGCGGCAAGGCTTCCAGGGCGGCGAAGTGAGTTGAGGGTTTAGGGTACCCAGGGCGTATAATGCTTTATATTTCCCGCAGAAATGGGCATAACAAACAACCATTCCTGGTTCCTCATCCTGAAGGGTCTAGGACTCCCCTGTAGTCACAAGGGCCCTAAGTATGAATCTACCCTATAGAGAACCCAAGCACCCATACGTCAGAACCCTAAAGGGCAGGCATCGTATCATGGGATCATGTAAATGCCTCGAGGGCTTCTCTGCACATCCAGGGGTCGTCTTGATACGCTTGGTTCCAGCTATTTGGGCTGGCTCACACAGCAGCTAGAAGAGTTCTACGGCCACCTGCATCAACTTGCATGCCATGGACTGTAACTCCCATTTGTCATAGGCGCTGTCCTAAACCCTAAACTGTATGTTCAGGTGTGTATCGGCTTTGAGGTTCCGGTTGTTTTCCTTTTGGTTTTGAGCGTTTTGCCCAGTGAGCCGGAGGCGTATCGGGCTCGCCTGGCGCGGTGCGCGTGCACGGCATGAGGCCACGTCTCCTAAGCTTTGCTGACGCCCAAGTTCAAGGGTTTTTGGATTTGGGCAACCCGGAAATAATAGACCCCCAAATAGTAGGATTCCCTTGTAGACTGTAAATACGGACCCCAAAAAGGTACCCCAATGTTCGGAAATCACAATTTGGGGGCACCTGGACCCTGTGTTAGAACAACGCTTCCAAAAAGATTTGTGGTGTGCGCTTGGGAGGGCTTAGCCCCAGTGCACCGAACATTCCAAACCCCAAGCCCTACAATGGCCGATAAGCCTTACAAACCCCAAACCCCATTGTAGCACAATCCCCTTCGACGTTTGCGCTTCCCTTTCCCATATCTCTAAATGAAGGGCCTTCAGGCCCTACAGCCTTACAGACCTTGTTTTTGGTTTGGGGTTGGGGTTTGCGGGATTTCGGGTTTTGGCTTTGGAGGTTTAGGGTTGAGCATAGGGCTTCGGGTTGAGGGTTGACGCCTAGTTCCGGAGCATGCTCAGTAGAGGAAGCAAGTTGAAAATACATATGTTATTTTCACCCTCAGCCCTAAACCCTAAACGCTTTTATACAAGAAGCAACCCCAACTGCCAAGCCCACAGAAACTTTTCAGCCTGAAAAAGCGCCTTTCTCTCCTTCAAAGCCTTATGCCAAGCCCAACCCCAAAGCCCCAAATTCCTGCAATTAGGGTTTAAGCTTGAGGGTCGATGGCTTTAGCGAAGACCCTGGCTCCCCCCGCAGTTGGCCCAGCTTCGCTGGGGTCTGCGAGGTCTTCAGGCCTTGATCACTCCCTTGTCAGGGTTTAACTGTACTTGGAGGTTCATGGGCACTTATAACTCTAACTATAGCTGTACTTATAAACCCCCTAAGTGCCCTAAGTAGGTTATAAGTAGACTTATAATTGGGGTTATAAGTACCCATGAACCTCCAAGTAGGGTTGTGGAGACCTTAGCCCGACACCCAGATCCTTGTTGCCCTGCCGTGTGGCTTGTCTGCTTGGCTTTGCTGGTGGCAAAATAACCCTAGTCCTAGTCCCTATACCCAAAACCTATCAGGGGAGTAAGGTTGAGGGTTGGGAGTCGTTTGTTGCGGGGGCCTGACACCTGCAGCTCGAGTTTGCCCAGTAACTTCCGGAATTAAAGGCTGCCGTGTTGTGTTGAAAGGGGTTGGTACAGCAGTCTCTCGCTCTGCATCCTGCTAGGCTTCTTCCGCTTTGAGGACGAGATCGTCTGTCCCGAAGACCGAATTCCCCAAAATAGAGCAGTCTGAGGGGGCCTCTACTCTACTTGGGGACTCCGGTCTTCGGGATCCAGGCGATCTCGCCTTCAAAGCGGAAGAAGCCTACTAGTGCCCAGAATGACCCCTGTACCAGCCCCTTTTCAACACAAGACGGCATCCTTTCGTTCCGAACTCGAGCTGCAAAGGGGGAGAGTTTTTGTAGGATGTCTTCGGACATGGGCAACAGCGTACGTCTTCTTCCCAGCGTTCCACTCTGCTCCACCACAGCTCGCGAAAGGATGCCGTCTTGTGTTGAAAGGAGCTATACTGTTGGCAGGATTGATGGGATGTCCAGCAGCATCAGGTGACAAAACATCATTTTGCCAAGCTTGCTGCCGCTTTCTGCTCAAGCGGCCCCCACATTCCACGCGACTCCTCTCGTACCTGCTCTGCCAGACGGCAGGAGTCCCAACAGTCGAGACATGAGCGATGGTGAAGATGTACTTGCAGAGGCCAGGAAGGCAATCGAGGCTGCCAAGAAGAACAAGGACTTGGTGGCCCGGTGGTTCCCTTTTACCCTTCTTTTTTTGCTTCAGGGTACCCTTATATAACGGAACCCTAAACCCTAGACCCTAGACCCTAAACCCTAAACCCTAAACCCTAAACCCTAAACCCTAAACCCTCCCAAAAAGGGCACCCCTGATTCTATTGGGTTCCTGGGCCACAGCCAGAGGAGAAAGCCGCGGCTGCCAAAGTGCACGACTACGGCTTTGGCTTCGGGTGCAGCCAAGAGCCCAAGGGCTTGTGGATCCCTTCCAAGCTCCTTGGGGCGGGGGGGGGGGATGGTTTAGGGTTTAGGGCTTGGGGTTTAGGGTTTAGGGTTTAGGGTTTAGGGTTTAGGGTTTATAGGGTCTAGGTTTTAGGGTTTAGGGGCCAACTTCTGAGCCTTAAAAAGGGTGGTTCATAGACCCCCCCCCATTTTTAGGGTGTGTGGCTCATAGACCTTCATAGAAGTTATATAGTAGAATAGGGTATATGACCCTAAACCCTATCCTAAACCCTAAACCCTAAACCCTCATTTGGCCCCCAAGGTTCGTGTCCGAGCGTGAGGAGGTCTGGAAGAACGCAGGGATGACCAGCTTCGAGGAGTACATGCAGAGGACCCTCTTCACTTTATGCCCTCAACCCTGAACCCGAAACACCCTAAACCCTAAACACCCTAAACCCTAAAACCCAAAGCCTTGCACCCTAACCCCCTCCCCGCCTGTCAAGTGCAAACTCAAGTGCCCTGGCGCCTGCCGGGACCGAATCAAGGAACCCTAAGATCGGGATCGTATACTACCTTGTGCTTTGATCACTATAGCAGAGAGCGTATGGGTGGACCAAAAACGACTTGGGTGATTTACTTGGAGGTTCATGGTAATTATTAACCGATTATACCTGGACTTAAACTGTACTTATAACACCTTATATCCATATTAGGGCACTTGAGGGGCTTGTAAGTGGGTTATAAGTACAGTTATACTTGGTTAATAAGTACCATGAATCTCCAAGTAGATTCCTTGAGGACGCACAACGGGGCCTTCTTCAGGCGGTACCAGAAGCGTCACCTCTTCCGTACGAACGGGGTCCACTGGGACACCGATATCCGAGTAACCCGGTATCTTTTCCAGCTTCTAGGTAGGTTACCCTCTTCTGGCTCTCTTATACAGGGACCCTATTCAGAGATTCTATATCCCCAAAGGGTCCCCCTAATCCTATCCCCTACCAGCCTACGAGTTTCGGGAGGCTCTTGCAGTCACTATGCGCGACAGAAAAGAAGCTCAGGTAGCAGGTGCAGGCATCGAGGCCTGCAACGGCCGCTACATCCTAGACCAGAAGCGCCTGTGGCGCAACGCCCCAGTTTCTTACCGGCTCAAGACCCAACTTTTCAACTTTTGGGCTTCTTATAAGGTAGCCTATTCTGAAAGTTTCAACTTTTATTTCCTTGGGTTTTGGGCCAGTAAGGTTTGGCACCACGAGAAGGGGGCCTGTGATGCGCAATGGGATGGTGTGGGTGGTGGTGCCACCATCCTACAGGAGCCCACCTGTCCTGAAAACTAGCTCCCCTGTGTGTGCGATCCTTCTGACAAATGGGCTTATGACCCCTAAGCCTGAAACCCTAAACCCTAAACCCTAAACCCTAAACCCTAAACCGTAGTGACTCCAAACCCTACAACCCTTCAGGACATGAAGGGGCGGGTGGACGGAGACAACGGGGGCCTCAACTGGCTTCTTTTCTACAAGGGTGGGCCGCGATACCTTGCCGGTGATCTGGACACTCCGGCGGGGGTTCCCACATCTCACTGGAAAGTCCTCTACGAGGACTTCCTTGGAGGTTCATGGTACTTACTAACTAATTCTATCTGTACTTATAAGTGTACTTAAAACCATATTAGGGCACTTAAGGGGCTGTAATTGGGTTACAAGTACACGTATAATTGGTTAATAAGTACCATGAACCTACACGTCTGTGGGTTGTAGAGTCCAGAGGGTTGAGGGTCGTCGGAAGAGTTACTAATAATATTCCCTTGTGGTCCCTGTGTAATTATAAAACAACCCACCAAAGCCCTATTAAAATTATTCAGGCCCCTAGATTAGGGTTTAGGGTTTAGGGTTTATAGGGTTGAGGGTTGAACCATTGGGACCCGAAGAGGATCACAGTTGGGATGGGGTTCCCACGGTGGGCCCGCCCCCCGAGAGTCGGCACGCGGACTGGAGCTACACCATGGGCGAGCTGCTGAAAGCCGAGGCGCATGAGGAGCCTGGGAGGTTTAGGGTTTACGGTTTAGGGTTTAGGGTTTAGGGTTTAGGGCTTAGGTGGAGCGACGTCCTAGGGCTCTGGGCCCATAAGGGTGTAGGATTTCGGTGTCACAGCCAGTTTGGTTAAGCTTTCCTAAGCCTTAAGCCCTAAACATTCATCCCTAAACCCTAAACCGCCCACTCTGCAGCAAGAAAGGAGGCCAACTTCAACGAGGCTGCTGGGGATTGCTGGCTGGTGGACTTGCTCGACCGCGAGGCGTGTCGATGCTTTGTGTCGGTAGTTCCGCAGTTCTCGAGGTTGAATTCCTTGGGTTCAGGGTTTGTCGGGTTTGGGGTTTAGGGTTTGGGGTTTAGGGTTTAGGGTTTAGGGAGCTCTAGAGGCCTGTCTTGAAGGAATCCCGTTATCAAAGTTCGAAGGTCCTTATTCTTAAGGGAGGTTAGCAGAAACAAAAATGCAGTCAAGGCAAGCCTGCTGAAATCTTAGGGTTTAGGGTTTAGGGTTTAGGGTTTATATACGATGGAGACCCTGAAAGCCCTACAAGCCCCTTTTGCCCCCCCCCAAACTGCGTCGGTTCTTTGACTGAGGGTGTAGAGGTTTAGGGCTTAGGGCTTTGGGAGTTCGGATTGCCCGTTTGGGGGAGTTCCCTGTGAGACGGACCAGACTCCCTCTCTCTCTAGTTGTGTGATATCTCTCTCTCTCTCTCTCTTTCCCTTCTCCCTTCTCCCTTCTCCCTCTCCCTCTCCCTCTCCCTCCGCCTAAACCTAAATAAACCCTATAAATCCTAACCGTCATCTCGCGAACTCGCCGTGCAGGGTAGTGGGGCTGTAGGAATGATGGATGTTTGTCTTCAAACTACAAGCCGAGCCTGGGGGGCGTCTCGAAAAAGGTTTAGGGTTTAGGGTTTAGGCTTTAGGCTTTAGGCTTTAGGCTTTAGGCTTTAGGGTTTAGGGTTTAAGGTGAGGAGAGAAGAGCCAACCGACAGGACGCCAGCTCCCAGAACTGGGTCATCAAACGCCTTGAGGCCGGCGTCCAACCGCAAGTAGGTAGCTACTATTCCTCTTTTCTCTCAGTTTTAAGAGGATCTTATGTAGGAATGCTCTTACAAGGGCTGTTATAAGTCATAAGGCCTAGGTAAGGTTGTAAAGAGCCGTAGTAACGACGGGGCTGTTTCCAAGCTGATGCCAGCACGGTTCATTCATGATAGTTGAAAGATGCCCCCCCCCCTAAACCCTAAACCCTAAACCCTAAACCCTAAACCCTAAACCCTAAACCCTAACCCTAAACCCTAAACCCTAAACCCTAAACCCTAAACCCTAAACCCTAAACCCTAAACCCTAAACCCTAAACCCTAACCCCTACACCCTAAACCCTAAACCCTAAACCCTAAACCCTAAACCCTAAACCCTAAACCCTAAACCCTAAACCCTAAACCCTAAACCCTAAACCCTAAACCCTAAACCCTAAACCCTAAACCCTAAACCCTAAACCCTAAACCCAAATTAAACCCCCAGAGCAAGCTCCCAAATGCCCTGAAACGTCGAACATGGAAGCGATCCTAAAGCCCCCGAAGCCCCAAAACGGAATCCTAATTAAACCCACGGAGGAACACATATACACATATATATGTGCATATATATGTATGTATATTATGTAATATAATGTAATGTAATGTAAGGTAAGGTAATGTAATGTAATGTAATGTATGTATCGAGCTCAAGTTCCAGGGGGGGACTTCTCATCATCAGCTAACATGTGGGATGGTGGGCTTGGGGTACCCTAAGCCGTCAACCCTCAACCCTAAACCCTAGCCCTAAACCCTAAACACACCACGAGGAGCCGGAATCCGGTGGTCTGTTCTGCTGCTCCGTGCCCCGTCCGAAGATGGACTCCGAGATGGCGCTGTACCGGGATGGAAAGTGGCTTTGACCTGCAGATTAGGGTTTAGTGTTTAGGGTTCAGGGTTTTCAGGTTTAGGTGCAGATGAAACAACTTTGAGTTGTGGGTCGCGAGCTTCATCTTAAGGAGGAGTCGGGCGTCTGGCGTTCAGATTTCTTTTTTCTGTCCAAGGGTTCCTTGTCATCGCCGACCTTTCTTGGGTTTTGCAGTAATATACTTTATTACTTTTTTGGGTTCTGGGTTTCTACTTTTTTCCAGAGTCTACTCCAAACTAGGGTTTCAAGCCTAAACCTAAACCCCTAAACCCCTCTCATCGGTGGCATCTGTCTCAGAGTGCTGTCCCCTCGGTTCGGTGCTTTGCAGAATCAGACGTGGGGACGAACCCCAGGGATGTTGAGGGTCTGGGTTTCGGTGTATAGGACGTTTACGATTTTGGATTTCGGGTGTGTGACGTTTTTGTTGCTTCCGAGCTTTACGCTGTTTGGTTATTGAAAAGATTGTATTGGGACCTTCCTAAACCCTAGACCCTGAACCCTAAACCGTGGCCTCCAATGCAGAGTGTTTTGAGGAAGGTCCTCGATAAGATCTACACCGCCACTCTGGGCAATGGAGCTTTTGGGCCTCTCAGCGTCTGCCTCACGGCGCGGAGGGGGGGGGGGGGAGGGGAGGGAGGAAACGGTTTCCTGGAAGGTACCCTACGAAACCCTACACACCTCCCCACCCCTCCCCCCCTGAACCCCAAATCCTAAACCCTAAACCCTAGAACCCTAAGCCGCCCCCTACAGGGAGGGTTTAGGGGGGACTCGGGGCCTGCTTAGGGTTGAGAGTTTGTCTTGGGTTGGAACCACGGGCACTTGTGGTCCCTTACGCTTCTTTTTAGGGATCAGAAGCATGTGCCCTGATTCCATATAGTGCATATAAGGGATTACAAGGGTTACATAAAAAGGGACCCAACTTACGGGCCCGTACTTGGAACCCTAGAGTTTGGAGATCGAACGCAGGTGAGTGGCTTGGCAGACGGCACCAGGAAGTGCCCTGGGGCTTGTCTTCCCGGTCTTTATCGCCTCGTCTTTAATGGAGCAACATAATTATACATATACACACACCTACACCTGTCACATCTATCTGTGTATGTATGTATGTATACATACATACATACATGCATACATACATACATACATACACACACACACATACACACATACGTGGAACGTTTTTGTGTGTCTGTGTGCTTGTGTATGTGTGTATATATATATATAGGAATGCACATACATATTTACATGTGTGTGTGTTCAGGTATGCATCATTTTTTGCATGTGTGTCTGTATCCGTTTTTGATACACACACATTTGTATATACATATATATATATATGTAGACAGACATACACCGATACACATTCATGATGTCTCTTGGGCTTGAGGTACTATGAGATCATCCTGCAGCGTGGACCGGTACCTGAGCAAGCATTGGAGATGATCAAAATGTGCCGGAGCTGCACTCGGTGTTCGGGTTTGAGATTTAGGGTTTAGGGTTTAGGATCTAGGGCTTTCTTTCCCCCTTCTCTCTTCCTCCCCTCTCTTCCCTTGTAAGTCAAGAGCCTCTTGTGCCCTCCAAAGTCAGCAAGAGCCCGTTTTAGGGTTTCGGGTTCAGGGTTTAGGGGGTTTAGGGTTTAGGCTTTGCACATCGGGCTGGCTTGTTGGGTTTCAGCTGAAGCTTCAGTCTCATGTAGCAAGTCCTGCCCCAAGCCGAAAGAGCTGTACAAGCATGAGGGAGCAGCTGCGTCCAGCAACTCCTTACTTGGCCATTGGCCAGTAGTTGAACTTTAACTTCTTGGGTTTCCTTGCTAAGAAGGAGTGATAACGTCTAGCCTTCATGTTGCCTTGGTTCTGGGAGAAGTAAGACTCCAGCCGCCTCTAAGGAGCCGTGCCTTCGACAGCAAGGCTTCCCGAGCGCCTAACCGCGGCCAGTGAGCGCGAAGGGCCTCTTGCTCGTGGTCTCTGGCATCTGCACGAAATTTGGGACTTTCGAAAATTAGGGGAGAAAAACACTGGGGGGGGGGGGCCTGTGTTTGCAGAAACCTCCATAAGCATGGTCCAACCTGGGCTTTCGAAGTCCTTCAACCCTGTGCCGGAGCTCCTGGGGAGGTACCGGAGATGCCACAGAAACTCCCGAGCCATGTACTTGTCAAGGAAGCCTTACGAAGCAGACGGCGAAGCCGCTGCGAAACACGCTCTTGTTGACGTGTCCAAAACGACCTGCTGGTGTAGGGAAGCGAGTGTTCGGAGATAGTCCGGGATGTATTCGGTGCCTGCGTCGCATGGTGCAAGCGTAAGTGACAGCAGGGATAGGTATGTGATGTTTGGAAGGTCGTTGTGGTAAAAGTGTTTTCGTAGATCTGGGTTGAGGAAGATGCCCATCCGCAGAGCATGAAGGATGGAGGTTTTGGGTTTAGGTGCACCAAAGTTTCATTCAAGCTTAAGGCAATCTGCAGCCCAAATGCGCTCATTGGGCTGCGCTTTAATGAAGGGATTCCTGCCAGCAACCCGAAAGCGTTTGTAGTCGCTGGCGTGAAGCCCTAAACCCTAAACCCTAAACCCTAAACCCTCGGCAAATTGCAGGCAGCGTTTCGAACACTGTTGGTCCGAGCGAGGCTTCAGAGGCGGCGCGCTGCTGCGCAGGACCAGGGGACTGGGGTGGGTTTAGGGTTTGGGGTTTAGTGTTTAGGGTGTAGGGTTTAGGGTTTGGAAGTGGGTTTCAGGGTTTGTGGATGCTACGTTCGGATCATTTCATGTCGCGAGGATTGAGCCAGGTGACGGCTAGGGCAGTGACGCGTGCCAAGTTTTGTGAAGATGGATGAGATTAGCTTGAGGGCACTCGCTTAGATGCGTTGCTGCGTTACGTAGCGATAGCACATCCAGCCGCCAGTTGTTTCCAGAGTGCATACGGAGGTCCAGCGCTACTCCGTGGATAGGTAAGGGGGAACTTTGCCCAGGGCCTTCTTGAATTCCGGGTAAAGTGCCGGCCTCTGGCTGAAAGATAGAGTCTTGAGGACGGGACCCTCTCCCATTCACTCTGCAGAAGCGCCTTTGGGTCTCCTGCTCGGCCCCTTCGAATCTCAGCGCACGTGGAAGGTTTCGGTGTAGACGCAGCCAGGTGATCCAGCACCGGGTACGCAAGTTCCTCCACCTGTGCGCGCTCGACCGCGCCTTGCCGAAGGAGGTAAGATTCAGCAGCACTCTTTGGACACAGAATCCCCCTAACCAACCCTACAAAGGGTCTTTTCAAGAGGTTACAGCATTGGGTATCGAAGCCCTTGCAGGGATTCAGGACACCTTCACAAGAGGGGCCTCAGGAACTCCAAGATGCGAGACCTACGTCAAGACGCGAGCCTTCGCAACCTTCGAAGTTTAGCCGGAGGCCCCTTTTGCAAACTCAAGATGCCCACGCAAGCCCATTCCCCTCAAACACACCTGTTTCACAAAGACCAAAACCAAGGCTCAATGGGCTTCGAAGAACCAAAGGTGATTCATTTGGGCTCCCATAGGCTCCCTAAAAATCATGAACCTCTGCCGTCCCAGGCCTCCGGCGGATGCGCGAGCGCTTGCGAAGGTCGAAGCACCTAAAAAAACACGAAATTTCAAGGGGCTTCGGGTGCATGGTTCCTCTGTGCTGTCACATTTGTGTTATACTTCCTGTACTGGCTCAAGACCCAACTTTTCAACTTTTGGGCCTCTTATAAGGTAGTTTATTCTGAAAGTTTCAACTTTTATTTCTTGGGTCTTTGCTCAAGGGGCCACGTCACCGGAAACACCAAACTACTGCTCATGATGCCGACCTCCCGATCATCAATTGTGCCAACGAATTGGGGCGGTTGGTTTGCAAGTGTCTGGAGCCGAGGGTGGGCCACGTGGAGCAGTACCTTTTATACCCCTTATGTACCCTATACAACCCAAAAACCCCTACCTCAGAACCCTTCAAAGAAGGTAAGGGACCATATCAAGGGCCCATGAACCTACCCTTAGACACCGAGCTGATGCTCATGATGTCACATACCGCCGCGTCAAGTCTGCCAGGTGACTGGAGCAGTTAGGTTCTGCAAGCGTATGGAGGCTTGTGGCAGCCGACGTGACCAACAACTAGCCGAACTGACTCTCATGATGCTCACCTCCTCTGGAGCTCGGGGGCCCTGTGATCAGCAAAGTACCAAGCTGATGCTCCTACCTCGACAACGGTGAGCCCAGGGGACTATGTGATCGGACAAATTCCGAGCCGATGCTCATGATCCTCACCTCCCACCTGAACAGGATCCTAAGTCAGAGACAAGCCCTCCCAATTTGTAAAGCTGGTTTCTCCCGAAAAAACCTCACCCTCCCCAAAAAATTGCAGGAAGCAGGAGAGGGCCTCAGAGACCCTAAACCCTAAACCCTAAACCCTAAACCCTAAACCCTAAACCCTAAACCCTAAACCCTAAACCCCTAAACCCCTAAACCCCTAAACCCCTAAACCCCTAAACCCCTAACCCTAAACCCCAAAAACCCGACCCTCCCCAAATGTCTTGCAGGATGCAGGAGGGAGCCCAGCAGCTGATGATGGGAACTGCCAGCTTCGCCGAGGCTGCGCTCGGATGATGCAGGTGATAGTAGGGTTTAGGGTTTAGGGTTTAGGGTTTAGGGTTTGGCCAGTTGTTGGGCGTGGCCTGTGTTGTGCTATGTTCCAGGGAGATGTCCGCGCGGCCTCAACATTGTCCGACCTTGTCCTCATCCCTATTCTCCATCTCCGCACCTCAGCAGGAAGTGGCGAACCTCGCACGGAGCTGCAGCTCCCTGGAGGCTAGCAGTTGGGGCGTCGGTGTTCAGAAGGTTCCCTAAGGGCCAAGTAGCTCATAACCAAGGCATGTGCACGTGCCGAGGTCAGTAGTTGTAAGTTAATTGCTGGAAGCACTTGGGCTACAGAGCATAGTAGAGCATGCTGCATCGGAAAGTTGAGACTCTCTTGCATCTCAACCCATATGCAAGGAGAATACTTGACACACGCTTTTCTTGAAAAGTGTCGACATTCTGTTATCCTGCGGAAAGCTCTTCTGAAGACTACGAACGCTTTCACTTTCATCATAAGCAGAAGAGAAAGGTTGCTCATTATGCACCTACGTGGGGTATGGACAATAGGTCGTGAAAAAGGCACACTTTTTCTGCAAACGGGCTTCTTCCAAGCTTTGTTTCTGGACCTGTTCCATGGCCCTAAACCCTAAACCCCAAGCCCAGTTTTTTGTTCTTGCTTTTTGTTTTAAACTGGGGCCCAGGAAACCAAGAAGAGCACCTCCTATCACTCTAGACCAGTCATAGTTGGTGGGCCAGAACTCTCATGTTGTGACGCCATGGAGCTTGTCATCTTGAGCCACTCAGGTGGTCTTTGCTTCTGAAACAAGAAAGGGTTTGCAAGATGTATGAAAAAACTGGAGCAAACAGCAGCTGCAGGGCTCTTTACGTCTTCTTTCCTATCTGCAACTCAAGTTTCCAGCTCTCCGGCTGACTCTAGCTAGTACAAGCCTCTTCTTTGATCAGACTCAAACTGTAACCTCTGCAGGCGCCGCGCCTTCCATACGTAGCCATGCAGCATGGCCACCCGTGACCCTATAAGCATGGAACCTTGACCACTAAATCCTCCGCTGCAGCGGACGTACCCCAAGCCCAAAACTCTGCAGCTCTGAGCACAAAACCTGATGCTGATGCCCGAAAATTGGCAAAGGAATCCGAAGATCACCACTGCGCCCAAAAACCCAGAGCTTAGAATCATTCGCGCTGCAGGCTCCGCACAGGTCTTAGGCCTGTTGGCGTCACGACCTTGGATCTGGGCACACAGTGCATTGTCGGAAAGCACTGTAGCCTACGCGCCTGAAACTGTATTCCAGCAACTTCAGTTCCTAGGGCTTAGGGGTCGTCAAAAAACCTAGTAGCTGAATCAGTGCAGTTTACACTTTTTTGGGATACTATAATCGCCTATAGAAATAAAGGTGTACATTTTTTGGGCTTATGAACTCAGCAATTCAGAAAACGAGTACGAGGGTTTTTTTTCGGGTAAGGAGGGAGGATGGTGGTTTGACAGCAGCACAAGCAGTCGAAGAGCCTCTGCTGGTTTCTTAAGTGTTCGAAAGCTTCTTTTCGATTTGGGGTGCCCGAAAATAGCGGTACCTTATTCGGGTCCTTATCATAAGGGAATCCTACTATTTGGGGATCTAAATTGCGGTCCCCTTTTATCGTAAACTTCCATTTGAGTCAAGGGCGGGAGAACAATACTTTCAAAAACATGTAGGAACTCCAGTCCGGGCCAGTTTACTAAGAGTTCTTATGCAAGTTTTCGTCAAGGGCGAAACTTATAGCACAGCGTTGATCATGCCCCAGCGTGTTCTGATGTCACCTGCATTGGTCCAAGACATGCGACTTGTGTAGTTTTTTTGCGCCCAGTGTGCAGGGATGTTGGATCAGGAAGAGGGTGCCCAACAAGTTCTGCCGCAATGCGGTGACCTTCGCTTTTGGTTAGATCAAATCCTTAAGGACGTCGAGAACAAGAGCGTCCCAGCCGACCAAATCTGTTTGGAATTTTCAGAATGTTTAAAAATGTGCCACATGACGGAGCAGTCTGTGCTTGCCTGTCAGGCCAGGTGGCTGCGTGAGAAGCTGGCTCAACCCTGCAATGCTGACTATGGTCAGCTACACCACGACCTCACAAAGTTCGTCAAAACCGTAGACTTTACAAGCCGGACGAAGCAGTCACTACCGCCATTTCCGACGGCTGTGCCGGAGGAAGTCTCGGAGGAAGTGGCGACATTGCGCAGAGAATGCCGCGACTTGAGGTCGACCCTTCAGCAGCTGACCGATGCAGTTTGTCAGCTGACAGCGCAGACGCAGCGCCAGCATGACGGTACTCTGAATGACAAACACGTACAAGTTCATGGGTGCCAGATTGGTAAGAT